AACCCACATTACAGACGGTATTAGATAAATATGGGTGTGTCAAGTCTGGGCCACGCTAAGCTAATAACGCTAAATCAGGGCCAATCGGCTTGTTTACTCTCCCACTGACATCAGACAGCTGCGGTGATTCATGCCCCAGTGGACTAACGTGTTTAAACGCCCCCCCATCATGCAGCGAGCCCTCTCTGCACAGAGGGGGGGGAAGGGGGGGGGGACTCAGCCAGAGCAGATGAATCAATCTCAGCTGTCAGACTGCTGTTGGGTCACTTGGAAACACAGCGCTGCCTCCTGTGGCTGATACAGGCACACACGCACATACAGAGATGCAGACACTTAGATACACACAGACCACACATACGCAGACCACACAAACACAGACCACACACAGACATACAGACCACTCATACACAGATCTGACACACACATAGACATACACAGATCACACAGACCACAGACACACACTGACCACACACGCAGACATACAGACCACACAGACAGATCAGACACACACACACAGACCACACACGTACATACACAGACCACACACACACACAAACCACAAACACACACAGACTACATAGACATACGCATACAGACCACACACACACTACAAAAACGCAGACACCCCTTCTGACATTTTTTTTTATCTATTCTGGAAGCATCTAGATGGGAGGGGGGATCGATACCCCACGGAGAAGTCGCCTGCTAGCCAGTTATCAGCACCCATATTTAATATGTGCGGCATCGGCCATACTGTCACTGGGATCAAGAGGCTCGTCAGTGTGCCGCCAGGCCCGGGGCCCCCACAGTGGGAATGAAGCAGTTGGGGCCTGCTCCCCACACTGCCCCCCCATCACTGCGCTCTGACCCCAATCAGCAACTGCAGGGGCGGCCTGGCACACCAGTCTGAGGGGCGGGATCCCGCACATTCAGGAAATAGGTTTGTTCGCAGGCCTGTGGCGGAATATGGATGAGGACAGGAAGCAGGTCTGAGGGGGCACAGGCTCCGCGTGTGTGTGTGTGTGTGTGTGTGTGTGTGTGTGTGTG